GTGTGTGTGTGTGTGTGTGTGAGTGTGTGTGAGTGTGTGTGTGTGTGTGTGTGTGTGTGTGTGTGTGTGTGTGTGAGTGTGTGTGTGTGTGTGTGTGTGTTCGTTCGTTCGTTCGTTCGTTCGTTCGTTCGTTCGTTCGTTCGTTCGTTCGTGGATTCGTTGGTTTGTTTGTTATTCTGTTTGTTTGCTTGTTTGTTTGTTTGTGTGTTTGTGCTCGACCTGAGGGTGGGTTCATGGGGTGTGCAGTCTCAACGCTTGGGGGGCTTCGGCATCTTTGGGGATGGCAAGCCTGTGGGAAGACACTGACCCACTTCTTTCGAGCCATCCTGCGCCCCTGTGTTGGACGGCGCGCAAATCATAAATCCGGCCTCCAAGAGGTTCAGCCGCAGCTGCTCAGGATCTTCGGATTCGGCACCCGTTCGATGCCTCGGACTTTGCAGCTTTGGCGGAGTCGTTGGGCAATATGCAAATACTCGGTCCCCCACCCGTGCTTGGCTTCCATCTGTTTCCGACGGATCTCGAAGAGGCGCAAGCTCCCTCCCATGCGAGCGACATACTTGTGAAATTCCACCAGGCTCATCTGGCGGTCCTCACCCAAAGCTGAGGTGGAGACTTTTATTCAATGCAACGGCAGCGGGGCCCAGACTCCATCAGTGTCGACTGCTTTCAGAAGCTTCTCCACATCGTCATCCTCCTGTCAATCAAAACAAATCTTGCTCGTCGTCTTTCCTCCTACTGTCTCCATGCCATGACTATCAATTCTCAACGAGCCTTCGGAAAGCCGAGGTACTCCAGCATGGTACGTATCTGAGAAGTCAAGAAGAGCAGGCAGCACATGCAACTGCCGCAGACCGCACGCAATGCCTCTGCTTCGGACAAGGTTTCCTTTCCCGGCTTCTTGAAAAGGTTGAAGGCCGCCGCTAGCGTGGTGGTCTGAGCAGTATGCAACGCCAGTGCTGTGAGGCCGAAGGACGAAACGTAAGAGATGGACCAAGGCCTCCAGCTCAACTTCGTGCTCCAAACGCTCAAGGATGTCCTTGGCTTTGTCCTCGTCGCCATCGCAAACGGCCGTCTCACACTCCTGCACCGGACACAACTGCCTTCAAGCCCGGAATGTGCCCTCGGTAAACATTCCTGCACGATGGCATGGAGGCCGTGCGCGGGAAGTGCGAGAAGAGGATATCTCTTCTGCATATCCTTGAGGGCATGCGCCATCTCACTGTCCTGAGCCGCGGCTTTCCCAAAGCACTTTTGTCGCCAAATGCAGTTCCAACCGCAACAACAGTGCTGGCTACGGCAACGAACGGCTTGCCTGACCGTTCCGTGAACAAAAGAAAAAACCTGAATGTGGAATGTGCCAGCGCTATTTACACGCTCCTGTCAAGCCGTGACTGGCATCTCAACTACATGCCAGTGCAACGTGGACCACTGTGTGGTGCTGGCGATGTCTCGGAAAGAACATATTCGGCAACTTCACGAACAGATTTCTGACTATGCCGTTGAGTGCCAACGCTTTCGACACATGTCCGGTTCACCTCAATCATCTTGTCTTGAATGTTGCCCAGCAACAACGTACAGCGTCACAGCGGAGTCGCTCTCATCGGTCGTTCGGCGCTGCCGAAGGTTATGATTCCATGCGAAATGCCGGAAGCTAAATAGTGAAGCCTTGCCGTGCCTTGCACCCTTAGCCTCGCATCCCCAGGACTCAGTACTGGTCCGTAAGCTGCCGGCCGGCATGCCGCGGCTCGCGTCTGGCCCATCGGCGGAGCGCCACGAAAGAACGTTCCTTTCCAGAGTCTCTCCCAGGCTTCGACCAGTCCAGGAGTTCCGGTTTCGCAAGCTGGGCACCCGGCTCATCTTTCGTGTCCACACTGGGCGCCAGGCAGGCGCTGCATCCCAGCTTCCACCACAGCATCCCTTCGAGAGGCCGCCAGGGCCAGTGCCCCGAGATGCTTCACTGCCACATCTCTCATGGCCTGACGTTTTGTCAACAGCCTTGAGCCAAGAGAGGCCAGTGGCAACATGAACGCTAGCCGGAGACCGCAGCCAGGACACCTTGCAGAGCACCAGAAGCGGTAATGATCATGATACCCACACGGTCATTCGGCATGCAATCAGGTTGTAGACAGAGAGTTCCCCTAGCCAGCCACTCCCCTACTTACTCTTGCAGCGAAGAGCCTCAAAATAACTGCGATTTCCGCTTCTGGAACAAAGCCATCGCCATCTGGCCTGGCTCCACAACGAAGACCTCCCTTCTGCTTGAGACCGAAGCATGAACAGATGGGAAGTTCTCCTTTCTAGGTCCCCAATACAGTACGGAACCCTTATAAAAAGGCCCCTAAAAGGGACCCTAATTTAGAGAACTACCCAGATGCAAAAGAAGGGCGAGTCCATGCGCTCCAAGACGTAGGTGAAGACGTCAGGACCTCCGATTGCAGCAAGATGCTTAAGAAAGCGCCGGGGTCTAACAGCGCTTGCATCCCTGCAGCTGGGAGAACGAATCAACTGCGCAGACCTGTACAAAGCTCCATGACGAGGAAGAAATTGGTTACATCATCGAAGTACTCGATGACCTGCAAAGGTCTGTAGTCTTCAAGTTCGGGCCAGCAATGCAACTGATGCATCGCACGCTAATGCACCCTACCATATATCTGCAACGTGCCTCTACAATGTGTGGATGGTCTAGCTCCTGCAAGGCCTCAGCCGTATGAAGCGGAAACCTTCAAGTTCGAACCACTTCTCGCCAACGAGCCTTGAGTTCTAGCTGAAACTCTTCGTCTGCTGTGCCGGTGTGTGGTATCTCCTTCACAGCCTGCACAGGAAAGAGAAGATGGTCAAGCCCAAGGCCCAAGGCAGGCCCAATGCACAGATTCTTCTAAGGCCAAAGGCTCGAAGCATACCTGTGCGGCGGTGGCGCGCCTTCTCAAGACGTCGTGGACGAATGCAGCTGTGCCCTGTTGCCTTGTAGCTTACTTGACGCACCTTGTGAACTTTGCCGAAGGAGCCCTCCCCAAGCACTTCAAGAAATTCGTACTCGTTGTAGACCTGAAGGCTGTTGGTGGGACAGACAAGAATGACTTTCACTCAGGACCGTCCACCCCACCCTTACCACGCGCCTGTCGGCCATTTTTCCGCACGAGATCCTCCGAAAAGAATCAGGGAGCCGGGGTCGGGATTGCAGCTTCATGCTCACACTGAACCCACTATATACAATATGTACGATCTAGTCTTGCTCGTACTGGACGACACCGAATCATAGCGAAGATAGAGCATATCGGAAGGGCTTCGGGAAATGCACAAAGCAACTTGCAAAATGCGTGTCACTTTTGCACAGGCCTGGATGACGTTTTGGCAGAAGTCTGTGCCCCTGCTTAGGCGTGGGCGACCAGGTGCTCGAAAGTCTGACATTTTGTGGATCAACTGTGAAGGGAACACAGTAACAGTGCACGATTAGGGATGACTGTGGGGAAGCTCCTGTGTGACTCCAGGAGGCTCGGCCTGCAGAAGTGCAAACACCGCTATCGCGAGCAAGAACAGCTTGGCCGAAAGAAAGTGGGCGTGTTTCCGGTGGCATTTCACGGCGGCCGTCCGTCCACGGCTCACTGCCCCTCCAAAACCGCAACCAGGTTGGTCGCGCCATATCACGCTGCGCAAAGGCATGCCGCTTAGAGTTAGCCTCAACACATGTGAAATCCCAAGAGTACCTGTCCAGGTTTGTATAAACGGGATTATAGAACGGCTTCCCGAGAGTTTTACAGAAGGGATGATAGAAGAGTAGATATGGATGAACGGATGGATGGACAGATCGATGGATGGATTAATGGATGAGGTGGTTCTTCTTTGCTTCCAGCGCTTTCGGGACACTCGTTCTCTAGTTACTCTAGTTATTACCACTGCAGCTCTCGAGCCTCGCGGCTGAACTCCGCTGGAGATGGGCAGACCACGGGGCTGCATGGGAATGCCTGAGCGTCACAAGAAATCAAAGGCCTCGGCATAAGGATCCATCATGATCCAGCCAACCCCGGCCTACTTAGTGAAAGCAACTCCACTCCCACTTAGGAAAATGGCGAGTGTACGCATTGGAGTCGGCGTCGAAGCATTTGGATCCTGGCCAAGGCGAGGATCCGCCAAGCTGGTCAAATATCGTTCGTTACCTTTTGCGGTGACACCCGTCTGTGGAGCTCTGGCTCCAGACCAGGGCCCAGGATTGGCGCCAGCGCCCGAAACCCTCCAAATGTCATTCAAGCCTTCCCTGGCCTTGGGACACAGTGCCGAAGAGCACACTCCATGTTGCAGACGGCTTGCAGCCGGCACTATCAGTGCGACTGCTTTGACCCAGGTGGCACAGAATCACCTGCCCTCCTCCTCCGACCTTTCTCGCTTTCCCCGCTCAATCTGTCAATGCCGACTCTTCCCCACTCTGCAAAGCCTGGCACATCTTGGTGTAATAATTGTCTTGCAACTTAGACTCATATTCTGCAGTTTCCCAAGATCGCCAGAGGCATGAGCGATGGTAAGTCTCGCTGGACCTTTTGGTCTTCTGTGTCCGAAGTGCCTTTGGACCGTGTTTACTCTTCCATGTTCGTGTCTTGTATGGATGGAAGACCGCAAGCTGCCTTATATACAACAATCTCAGGCTTCGTGAATCAGAAGTCTCCCTTCTAGATGCTTCAGAGCCTCCAACGGAACGCTAGTCCACTGAGGTGCCTCCTCCAAGGGAGAGCACAAAGGTGACGGCGTCGCCTTCACAGACACGGAACTACAACCCTTGGCTCGCTGGAATGAGACACAGCACATCAGCGGCAAGGCTGGTGAGAACCCTGCCCCCGGAAATAATCCTCCTTTGTGCTTTTTAGGGGGTCGTGTGCTCAAGCTCCCATTTGTCATGAGTGAGTTTTCATTCTCGTTAAAGGCTTCCTGTATATCTGCTGAAAAGCTGCGAAAATAGGATTGCTTAACGGCCATGCCTCTGACATTCTACAACATTTAGCAAGGTTGTCGACTGCGGCACTCGAACGTTTATGCTGTACCGGCATCTTACCCGAAAGATCTACTCACAGATGGACTGATGTTCAAGTCTGCATTGGCATGAAGGCTCCGTGCGTCTGAGACATCGGCCCCGTAGCCACACTGCGTGTCGGCACTGTCATTTCGCCTTGCCGCGTGAGACCCTGGTTGCTGAACTTACTCGGCCTGTCGAGGTTCGAAAGCCCTGCTACGCTAAGCACGAGGCTCGAGAGGGCAAAGCTTGGGACCACCTCGCCTCTTCCGATGCCACTCCTGCAGCCGTGTCCACGAAGGACTCCCGAGCTGGCCACAGGAAAGCCCGCAAAAACTTCGAAACTGGTGGGACTTGGGTCGAAAGTCGAAACGGCCTACAGCACAGTAATTTAACCGGAGATGCCAACAAACACAGGCCAGTTCAGCACACTCCCATGTCTCATCACCTGTCCGAGCTGCTATAAGGGCGCACATTCGAAGGCCAGCGGCAAACCTTCGCATGAAGCGTTCCATGATGTTCCATGTCAGAAGGCGGAGAGAGCGTCCCCCGAGTGTGGCATGCAATGTTCTCACTCTCTCACTACGAGCATTGGTCCCGGACCTCCTGCAAGAGTCACTCGAATGCGGCCATCTCCGCAGAGCCAGCGGCGAAAATCACGGCATTCTCTACACTTGTTAGACTTTTGAAGTGCAAGACTGCTGGACCTGATGCTAAAATCGGAAGGTGGTGGCACTCTGCATAGTCAAAGTGAAGCCTGCACCCACAGCACCCCACACCAGAGTGGGCTGTACAGAACAAGGGCTCTGAGCCTGTACCGCCGACACACCTCAAGGACCCGAAGCTGCACTGTAGGGCAAAATGAGGCAACGAAGAAAGCGAAGCAACGTCTTCGGCAACAAACCGCCGGGCTTTGCATGAGGTTCGTGCGTGCATGCCGCCACCACTGTTGGGCAGCGGCTGCACTGTCCTTCCGTTTCGTCGTACAAAGCTAGGCAGGGTGAGACAAAGGCAATGGGCTGCAGCTTTTTGGCGTGCGATCACGCGCTTCTTGACCACAAAGAGGAAGCAGAGCCGTCCCTGGTAGCGCAAGACTTTGCCGGAGAGTTTCGCTAGCGGTGACACTGTCCTGACGTTAGCTCTGAACATCACCCACGATTGCAGGTGGAGATCTCCTTGAAGCATCAGGCTCAGGCTCAGCTTGCCTCATTCCACTTCTCAAAGTTGTACGCGCTAGCCTCTGGTTCCCACCCTGATCGTTCGAAGTCTCTGCAACTGTCTCACTTCGGGACGAGCTTGACTTCCTCATGGTCAGGTCACTCTGTGACTGGACTGCGACCGTTGCCAGCGGAGAACTTCGGTTCAGAGTCTTTTCTGGTGCCGTGCTGCTTTCTTGCTGCTTGCTCGTCGCTCTGAGGGATGGCCTAGCTGGCCTGGTTTCAGGCCCTGTGCCACGGCTCGAAGTGAAGATGGCATCTTGCGGTGCTGGCAAATCTCTGCTTCGTCCTGCGCCCGTCTCGTCTGAATCTGGCTGTACCTGCTCAGTAGCGTTGCTCTCGTTGGCTTCCCCATATTTGTACTGTGCAATGCTGGGGTTTGCCTCTTCTTTCAAAGAACCATCTTGCGGCACTTCATTTGCACTCACGGCGTCGGTGACGGCTGGCTGTGCGACCTTCGCTTCATGAAGGTCACCGATTCCAGGATTTGTAGGCGGAGAAACTGTGGAAGTGCCAGGCTCCTCTGTGTGATTGACATGTGGAGCTGCGTAGAGTGTTGCGGTCTGGTCTGCTTGACCGGTCCGGGCAGCGGAGGGTGAAGCCTCTTCTGCTGCCAGGCTCGCAGCCGCTGCAGTCTTCTCTTCGAAAACTTCTTGCAACGCGTCCTCACTCTGCGCTGTTGCAGCACCCGCTGCCGTCGAAGCATTCGTTTCTTCGGCAGCTTCTTGTGCCTGCCCTTCACCGACCCGGCCGCCTGCTTCAGCTGCTAGAGCTTCGTCTTTTGTGGCAGTTGCGCTTGGGCCCTGTGCGTCAACTTGGGCCCCTGGCTCATCTGCAAGCACTTGATCTTCTGGACTCGCAGCTGTTTGGCTTGCCGGCCGAGCTACAAAGGCTTCACCTTCTGCAGCAGTTGCCGTCTGGCCATTTGCTCGTACATCTGCCGATGCTGCGTCTTCTGTAATAGCTGCGGTGGTGTGGTTTTGTGTTGGCTCAATCGTGGGGGCTTCCCCATCCGCGGTAGTGGCTGCCTGACTCTGTGCTGGCTCCTCGGCCGCTTGGCTTTGTGTTGGCTCACCTGCAGGGGCTTCATCGTCCGTGGCGGTAGTGTCCACGTGGCTTCGTGTTGGCTCACCGGCCGCTTGGCTTGGTGTTGCTTTACCTGCAGGGGCTTCATCGTCCGTGGTAGTGGCCGCCTGACTTCGTGTTGGCTCATCGGCCACTTGGCTTTGTGTTGGCTGACCTGCAGGGGCTTCACCGTCCGCGGCGGTGGTGGCCGCCTTGCTTTGTGCTGGGTCATCGGCCACTTGGCTTTGTGTTGGCTCACCAGCAGGGGCTTCATCGTCTGCCGTAGTGGCCGCCTGGCTTTGTGTTGGCTCATCGTCCACTTGGCTCTGTGTTGGCTCACCTGCAGGGGCTTCATCGTCTGTCGTAGAGGAGGCCGCCTGGCTTGGTATTGGCTCATCGGCCACTTGGCTTTGTGTTGGCTCACCAGCAGGGGCTTCATTGTCTGCTGTAGTGGCCGCCTGACTTTGTGTTGGCTCATCGGCCACTTGGCTTTGTGTTGGCTCACCTGCAGGGGCTTCATCGTCTGTCGTAGAGGCCGCCTGGCTTGGTATTGGCTCATCGGCCACTTGGCTTTGTGTTGGCTCACCTGCAGCGGCTTCACCGTCCGCGGCGGTCGTGGCCGCCTGGCTTTGTGCTGGCTCATCGGCCGCTTGGCTTTGCGTTGACTCACCCGCAAGAACTTCATCGTCCACAGTAGTGGCCGCTTGGCTTTGTGCTGGCTCACCTTCCTCGTCTACAGCAGTGGCTGCCTGGCTTTGCGTTGGCTCATCTGCGGGCTCTCCACCATCTGGCCGGGGCGCAACATCTGCAACTCCCAGGCTTGGCGTCTGCACACTTGGAGACTGAGCCATTTGAGCCCTCAAGCTCGCGTAGCCTTCTGAAATCGGCTCACGTCCATCGTTTGTAACATCCTGGCCATCCTGGGCATCATCACCGCGGTCAACTTGAGCGGCTGCTGGCTCGTCACCTAGTGGTGGAGCCCCTTGCTGCCTGACATCTTCATCCACGCTGGCCGGAGCTCGGAAGCGTTGCTGCAAATCATGACCTCCATCACCTGCAATGCTGTGCGCGGGGGCGTCAGCCTGTTGCGGGGCTTCGTTCGCACGGTCCATATGAAACTGTTCATCCAACCCTGGTGAATATCTCTTCGATCTGGCTCTGGAGTTTCTTGGGCGGTCCAACTCCAGTCCTTGATAAGAACTCTGAGTTGCCTCAGTGTCTGCCTGCTCGTTCTGACGGTCCTCGAGCTGTGAATGAGTTTTGGCTCCTCCGATGTGGCTTGTGCCGCTCTGCCAGTCCTGTCCGATGCCATGCTTGCTACAGCACATGTCGCATTCCCGGCATGGTTTCGCACATGTCCAAGAACGGATGCTTTTTTGCCTGGTTTTTGCTTGGATTGAGAGGGAGGTGGGGCATGGGAATTTGGAGGCTGGGGACAAGGAATAAAATACGATCAAGAAGAAGATAAGCAGCCAGAGCCCTAACAACGATATTAGTTCGAAACAGTTGGTGTGAGTAGTAGTAGTAGTAGTAGTAGTAGTAGTAGTAGCAGCAGCAGTAGTAGCAGCAGCAGCAGTAGTAGCAGCAGCAGCAGCAGGAGTAGTGGTAATAGTTAGTAAAGATAATAGTACTGATGGTGATATTCGTTCAGTTCAAACGGTAACCTGAGGAGTAGTAGTGGTAGTTGTAGTTGTAATTGTAGTTGTAGTTGTAGTAGTAGTAGTAGTAGTAGTAGTAGCAGTAGCAGTAGCAGTAGCAGTAGCAGTAGGAGTAGTAGTAGTAGTAGTAGTAGTAGTAGTATCGTTACATACCCTGGTACATACCGTTACCACATATCACATTGCTGAAGTAGCAACCCACCATCGTCATCACGCATGGCCATTCAAAGGTTACCATCGACGCAAACACAACATAGATAGATACATACATGCTTTTACAACCATGTTCATACTCATGTGTCGAATGTCAAACAAACTTTCCGAATCATTGCTGTAGCACATAACGAAATGTTGAACCACTGTTCTGAGACATGCTTCATATACATGCAATTCACCACACATGGGGCACCCTAGTAGCATGTCCCTCCCAACAGCGATGGCAGAGAGCCGTAGTTGTTGGCCAAAAGCAACAAGCTGGTTTCCACAAAAAAGACGTGTTACTAGAGAGGCGCAGGGCGGGCTTGTTAGCTCCCGAACCTTGCAGCACATGCTGTGGGAGTCCCGCCCGCCTTACAACACACATAGATACATGCCTGCCGCATCAGCATGTGTAATCAATACACACATTCCCCAATTCCTGTTTCTCTATGTCCCACAGCCTCCCTGCATGTAGCCCGAAGCATTGTCAAACGTAATTTCAAACAGCATACACCAGATTCTGCACATGAAGTGAGGAATGTTGAAGGTTATTATAAGGCTTCGTGTCCTCTCCTGCCGGATTATCATACCTGCGCCCATCTGAGCAACATACATGCATAAGCATCAACTTTTTTTGGGAAGCTGGATGAATGGCAGTGCTAAACCTCCAGAGTCATGGGCAGGGGCCATGTACCCCCACTTTTTAGACAGAACAAAGTCCAGGGCGTAGACAAATGCAATAGTGAATACTGAAAGGCGCTGCCGCTGCAGTCCTGCACACCTACACTACGCCGGTGCTTCCCTGAGGAGGATGTATCGGCAAGTGCGAGGATACCCCCTGTCTGAGTCACCTCAGCCTCACCGCAGTTGTGCTAGCGCTTTCCAGTTCAATACCAATGCAGCATTGGGCGGAAAGGGCGCTGCCCACCTGACTTCGCATCCTAGTTTGTTACGTCTCTGCGATTTAGGGCTTTGTTGTATGCTTGCCGCCAACATGAACTCCCTGCCACGGCTTTTGCCTTGAGTGTCCGCTCTGCTTGGAGTCATGACCGATTCGGAGCTCCGTGCCCGCGTTTGCGTTTTGCCCCCTGTGGGGTCGGAGACAACATTGGTCTCCCTCTCTCTGTCTCTGTTTCTTTCTCCCTCAGGTAACTTCTGTGTTCAAGTAACACATGGCAAGACCCACGTCGATGAACAAACGTTCTGACATGCAACCTAGTCTTGTCAACCAAAAGTCAACAAAGGAATCATGGTAACCGCACCAAGCACACTGCTCTTCGTGCCTTATGGTGTTGGTTTAGAAACTGGTTTGGTCTGGATGCTGGACATCGCACGCCAAAGCCAAAGCCAGACCCCACACCAGACCACAAACCAAAAGAATTGAAACATGTTTCTTGCGGTTCAATTCGAACAAATGCTGAAGCCCTCAGAGACTGAGCCAACTTTGTCCGGAAATCCAAATCGAATCACAGCTGCAAACTACTCTACTGATTTTCGCATGTGAAGTCTGACTTTGAGCTGGAACTGGCAGTGGAACTCGATGTGACGTTGATGCCACCCCCCCGGTCTGGTCAAGAGGCTTCTCTCTCTCTCTCTCTCTCTCTTTCAGCCGCGCAGAGCGAGTCCACAAGTGAAACCACTCGTCAGCAGCCCTTGAAAGGGGACTAGCGCGCGGGGAAAACACAAAAGTCGGCGGAAGCATACGGCATGGGAAACAGTCCAGGGACACTACATACACGATGAGCATGTCTATACACGGCTCTTCGTTACCCTTTTCGGGTGAGACGATGGCAGGACTAGGGTAAATTTTCCTGCCACGGGGGGGAAAAACTTAGTATGAAAGGATACCTCTATATTCACTGATGAAGCTCACCCGACGCACAAGGGGCATTCGTGACCACTCGCCGATAAAAGATGGAGCACCTGAGAGCCGCGCATCTCCCGCATCGGTGCCGCCATAAAGCATAGGATGACATATAGACCAACGTAGAACCTCCAGCATATAAGTGTGGGAAACTGGCGTCCAAATCGAGGATGTAAGGTCAGGTAGGAGAAAAGCTAGGGAGAGCCCATCCTCCACTGCTGTTCAGATCGTAGCGGTGGAACTGAATTTACCGACCTGACTTTGACTGTCTGGTGCAGATGCTCGTAATCAGTCGGCATGAAATAAAATGTCAAGCGAAAATCCAATGGGTTTCCAGCAGCCAGAAGGCTAGGTGGC